GTGCAAAAACTAGGCTAGAGCGGAAGTCATTCCTAATGTTAGTTAGTAGTGTCTGCATTTCATGGCAGAGGTTTTCAATTTTTGTTTCTTAAATGATCTCATGTGGGATACCGATTATGCTGCCGGTTGTTGAATATTGGTTATGTGGCTGGCTCTGCTGTAGGTATTTTCTCATGTAATCCTCAGAACAATCCTGGGAGTTTGGTATTAAAATGTCCTGGCTATGGTGAGAAAATGGAGCTAAAGTAACTAGCAGCAGAGCGGGAATCAAGTCCTGTTCTGACACTGAAGCCCATGCCTTGAAACTTCACTTTTTTTTTAATCACTAAGTATTTGTCAAGCACTATCCAGGGAGCACAGAATCATACGTTTGTCACCATTTATACTGTTAAAGTTTTGGCCTTCAGAATGAAATGATAACAGATCATAAGCCACCTACCTTCTCCATTCCATGCAGCATGGAGCTGGGGCGATGTGTTTTTGTAAGGAAGTACTTACTGTTTGATAGTTATCTCTGTTCTCCTCTTCAGACTACCTCCTTTACTCAAAACCCTTTTATTTATAAAATATGTGGCTACTTCTGCATTTGCTGGGAGGTGGATGGTCTTGTACTTTTTCTCCACTGTATGGTAAGTTGTTTGATCATATTTATAAGCCTATATTCTGCAAACATTTATTAAATGCCAAGTAGGTATCAGGTCTCTGCCCAGCCCAGAGGGTACTAATTAAATAATGGACACAGTCCCCAGTTTCAGGAACAGAGTGAGAAAAACCTCTAGAAAAAAACATAAGGTGGCAATGATAATACACAGAAATCCTTATTAACATGGCCAAATCATGTCCAAAAGATCAGAATATGCTGTAATTCATTGTGTTTGTGGAAAGGGAAGAATCAAGCTAGTTCTACAAGAAATACAGCGTTGAATAAGAAAAGCAGGAAGAACATTTGAGGCCTTTGGAATGGAAATACAAAACTGTTTCTTGTACAAGGAAATGGGGAGTTTCTGTCCATGGCCAGAGTATAGGGGTGTCATAACAGGGAGAAATGAAAGGTGAACGTGGATAAGACCAGAGTGTGGAGTGTTTTCATTACAGCATATGGACGTTGTCCTGTAGACCAGAGGAGGAGGTGGGCCTCCACTGATTTTTAACCAACAGATACCTCTGACAAGATGTGCATTTCAGAACTATAAATGATAGTCTGGAGGAGTGCGGGAAGGTTAGAAATGCCAGGCTGCTAGAATAACCAAAGAGGGAGGGGATAATGGGGATGGACAAAGAGAAGACATGTGTCAGAGGGACAAGAAGACTAGGATCCCAGGTGAGGCTTGGATGATAAAAAGGAAGAAGCACCCTAGGCAAAGAGAGGAATGGTGGCCGGTGAGAACATGGCTAAATGTCTCAGTGGAGGCACACATTTGGTCTATCATAAGACTATTATATTATATATATATTATATTATAAGACTATTATAAGACTATTGAGGTACCATGGGATAGTCAGTGAAAATGCCAAGCAGGTCATTGAAGACCAGGTGAGATATCAATGCTAGAGATTAGGGTTGCCAGATTTAGCAAATCAATACTCAGTTCAACTTGAATGTCAGGTAAATAAAGAATCTCTTTTTAATATAAACATATCCCATGGAATATTTCAGATAATGAGTCATTTTTGAGTATAAATATGTCCCATATTTTGCATGGGAACTGTTGTTTATCTAGCATTCAAATTGAACTGGGTGCCCTTTATCTTATATTTGGTGACCCCACTTGAGAGGTACCAAGTTCAAGTGCCCTGTACCCACAGCCACAAGTTCCTACCCTGCCAATTAATAACAGAACCCGTGCCTGGGATATGGGGCTTTTAAGACTAAACCTGGGATGTTCTCAGAGGAATTGGGATGAATTTGTCTCCCTGGGCTGAAAAGATGTAGTCTGAATGGTCAGAGGTCCGTACCCTAGAGACTACTGTAATTCAATATCTCCAAGCTACCACTGTCACCTTGACTGTGCCCAAGAATTCCAACCTTTATTGAAACTGTCCTCTGGTTTGTATTTTTTCCTCTTGAAGAACATTTGCTGCTGATTTAGTCTTGTTTAAAATTCCATTCAGTTAAGAAGTTCTGTTTTAATCTCTGTGTGACTCTTCTTCAGTCATTTCCTTTCTCCTCAGTTCAGTAGAATCTACCTCCTGGAGTTTGCTTATCAGCCCAATGTACACCACAGGCCTGGACTTTGTTCTGACATCTCTTTATATTTAATCCCAATGCTGTTTCTCTGCCAAGCAGATGTGTATTAAAATGTGCATAAGAAAAGAAGCAAGCTGGGCTTAGTTAGAAATTTCCTCAATTTGCACGCACTCCATTGGTATAAGAGCATTTTTTTTCTAGAAAACCCCACAACAAACATATGTTAATAGCTACTTAGAGGGATCAAGACAAATGTGTATTTAGCCATTTCTGCCATCACCATTCTGGCCTCTTTGTCAGAGACACAGAAACAATGACTGAGTATTCATGGGCATGGAGCATACTGCAACTTTTTTCTTGCTTGTAGGATACCTTTTCTCATAAAGAAGGAGTGACTTGAACAGCCAACTTTGTCCAAGTAGTTTTTTTTTTTTTTCATATGGTATTATTAGGAATAACCTGGGTTTCCTACTTAGGTCTTTAGGTCTCATATATGTATTTTAAAACAGCTTATTTTCGATGTGATAAAGGCTTCTAAGAGCCAAGTTTTCACTTACTAAGCTAAAGAAAGATACAATCACAGGGCTGAAATGCACAGAGAAAGGGAAAGTGAATATTGAGATACCCATAAAAGATTTTCTGAGCTCTATTTTCTGGACTGCCTATTTTAGATAAGATTATTAACAGATGTACCTTTCACTACCTTTTCCCCCTACAGGCATTAACCTCAGGGCCATTTGATGAGAAAGTTGTTTTAAAAAATGGGACTAAAACAGCAACCGTGTGATGGGAAGTGGGGGGTCCCATATATCAGGCAGTCCTGTCCAGGAATGAGGGAACGAATTGGTCAGAACATGGTCAAGTTCAAAGCAAGAAAACACAGGAGTAGGATGCAAGTAGGTGGCACAGAAAAGCCATCTGAGATCCACATTCAACTAGCATTTGCTCTGGGTCTTGTTTACATTTGGCTGAGTATGGGCAGCTGGGAAGAGTCAAGATGCATAGGCAAATTCTTGCAGAGTCTGAGCCAGTGGCAGAAGTACTATCCCAATGGCATAACCTGAAGATAACTCAACCAGTCCCCAAATGTGAAACATGACATGCCATTTCTAGAATTTATTACTTCAGCTCTGAAGCAAATTAGGCATCTAAAACTTAAAGAGAAGATGCGAATTACAAGGTTTGTGTTGGATGACATCTGCCCAGAAGGTGGGAAACCTGAGTTTTAGTCATGTAGAAAACCACTTTCTTGCTGATAATTAAGGTAACCAGTCTTTACTTTCAACAGCTAATTACATATATTTAATGCTTTGGTGTCACCCAGTTGATGTCCCCAAGCCATCTGATATTTTTAAACTATCTTTTTATCTATCTTTGGATATGTATAGAATTGGTATTCTTTATTACACTTGAACTTGTGGATCATGAAGCCTACTTCTGTAATGGGTGTGAGTTGATTAATTAGGTTAAAGGCAGGGAACAAAGCTTTTGCTTAACTTTTATTCATCATGGCACAAGATAGAACTTTAAGAAACACCACTGAAAATTTTATCACCAACATGAAAATTAAGAGTAGCACGTTTTATAAAAAAAAAAAAAAAATTCTATAATACACTTTCCCTTCTGAAGTGAAAAAAAAAAAAAAAATTCTGAAAATACTGAAGCAAATTGCCACCTGCTGGTCAAAAGTGGTTTTGCAGTTGAAAAACCGAACAACTGTAGTACTGCAGAACATTTTACATTACACACAAAATTATAGAAGAAAACGTTTCCTCAGCCTTTGGCACAATTAAGTACAAAGCTGTAGTTTTGTTCCTCCCCAAATATGATTAACTTTACAAGGAATTGCATGTAATTTGGTTAATACTGATTATGGGGCAAAGGGAAAAACCACATTCTGTAATTTGAATGTTCTATTTTGATTCTTAAACACTTAATAGTTGGATTCCAGTTTGTCGTTTTGAAAAATACATAAAATTATACATTATAAATATATATTATATATGGTCTATATAAAATTGAATTTGACCTAAAATGGGACGGACAACTTCTTAATCACTCCTTGTTAGGCACGGCCTTTCTCTCATTTGATTAACTGAATCCTTTCTGGACAGGTTCTAAAAATATATTTCATAATGTATCAAATTTAACACTTTCCTTAAAACTTATTCAATATGAAAAAGCATTCAGTGACTATAATTTTTGTACCTCACTACTATATAAAAATATGGCTTCTCATATTCTGTTTTGTTTTGTTAGTGTTTTCTTAGGCTTTGAAAGAAGGGCTGTCCCCAGTTAAAAGGTATGGCAAAAGCACAGAAACCCGCTTGTGCATGTTCTAGAACACTCTATAGAATCTCAACGCTTAATATATCTCATGGTGTAATATAAGTGAAGTGACTTAAAATTGTTCCTTCTGTTTTCTCTCTGTGAATATATCATATTGATTATCATACATAGATTCGTTACAGAATATACAATGGTCAAAACTGAAGACACATAAATACAATTATTAAGCAATACCGAAGCAAGAGTTTGATCGGATACAGAGCCAACGTGGGCAGTTTGTCGATTGGATATTGGCAACTGTTTTGGTTTTTCCTAAGGCTGGCTATGCAATAGAATCGTTAAGATCAATGGCGAGGGTCTGAGTGCTCTACATCTGTCAGTGGACTGAGTTTCTCTTGTGTTGCTTTTTAAAGTGTGAAAGAAGGAAAGGAAGTGTGTGTCAATTGTCCAGCACGACTTTCCTGGTGCGGGCTGGAGAGGGCATTCGGGCGGGCGGGCGGGCGGGCGGCTCGGCGGTCTGGGCTCATACCAGCGTTTCCGGGAGGGCGTCGGGGTTGTCGGCGGACAGGAGCTCCCAGATCTGCCACCGCTCTCGCTGCCAGTCGAGCCAGCTGGCTTCCCCCAAGTTTTGAGCGTCCTGCTGGCCGGCGCTAGCCTGGAGGGAGTAGGCGCTGCTGCGCTTGCTGTGCGCGGCGCGGGACTGGGGCTGGGCGGCCCGGCCTCCCTCGGGCGAGGCCGTTCCGGAGCCCGCCTCGGGCCTCTGGCGCCTCCACAAGGGCGGCTCCGCGGGCTGCGTGGCGGGCGCGGCGGGCTGGCCGGGCCCGGGGTACGGAGGCGGGGGCCTCCGGTCTTCCCTGCCGCTCTCCCGCGGTCTCTGCGGCCAGGCCCCGTCGGGCTCAGCAGCTTCGGTCGCTTCGGCCGCGCTCAAGTAGGGCTCGGACCTGGCCGCCGGCCGCCTGGCCGCCCCGCCGCCGCCCTGGATGTGCGGAGTGCTGCAGACGCGCGGCACCGCAGCGGGCGCGGGCTGAGTCCTCCGCGGGATCTGAGGGCCTCCGTCCAGCTCCGAGGGGCTCCCCTGCCACCGAGGCCAGTTCGCGGACAGGTTCCCTTGGGACAGGGAACAGGGCCCCGGTCGGAGGGAGCTGCTTTCAAAAATGTCACCATAGGAACCTGGGAGCAGAGAGAAAGGCCAGAACTGGAATTAGCTTGTAGCATTCCTCTGGGGATTAGAGTCCTCGCACTGGCTTCCCCGTGCCAACTTGTACCACCAAAAAAAAAAAAAAAAACACAGCACGCTCTCAGCTGCCGCCACCTAAAAACACCTGCTAGCAAAAGAAATGACAAATGCTTTCTGATCATCTGCACAATTCATGTGGCCGCTCAAAACTTATGCCTAGACTCTTGACACGTTAGCTGAGCTGCAAAACCAGATTAAACAGCCTTGTCACCAATTTATGTCTCTGAAAAGGAAAATGAAATGGCATATTTGGGTGGAAAACCTACAGGTAATGTTATCCTTTCCCCCTCTCTTCAGTATTTTCCCAGTAATATTTAACAACCATGTAAGACGATAACAAGGCAAAAATGAAACAAAGTTAATTTTAAAAGTAATTGCAATGAATTTTAAGAATAACACTCCACCTGTCATTCCTGGGTCTTTGGATCCACTTTTTAATGTTGAATGCCAAGTTCCCCAGATATTGAAAGGCTCCTCTGACATATCTAAGACAGAAAGCACAAAAAGGTGTGTGACACAAAACGAAATTTTAAAGACAAAAGTCAATACATATTTTATAACATCTTTTCTGTGCAAAGCAAAGTATTCAAGATTGTGCCAGATGCAAAACAGGATACAATTCATCTTTGCTTTTCAGGGGCCTTACAAGGACTTCTTATATCTTGGTTGTAGTAGACAGAATACTGCCCCCCCCCCAAAAAAAAAGTGTCTGCATCATAATCCTCAGAACCTCTAAAGCCATTATCTTATATTCAAAAAGGACTTTGCAAATGCAATCGAATTATATGATTCTTGTGATGAGGTGATATTCCCGTATGACCCAGGAGGGCCCCATAAGACAGAAGCTGCTCTCTTGCTGGCTTTAAAGGTGGAGAAAGAAGCCATGAGACAAGGGATACAGAAGCTTCTTGAGGCTGAAAAATGCAAGGAAACAAATTATTCCCCAGAGCCTCCAATAAGGAAGGCAGCCCTGTGGACTCATTTTAGACTTCTGACCTCCCAAACCATAAGATAGCAAATTTGTGTGCTGCTTTAATCCACTGAAATTGTGATAGTTTGTGACAACAGCAGTAGGAAAAGCTCATACAAGGGGGTGATGGCAAGATGCTTATGGGCTCTAACCATATTAATCAGAGATTGAGGACCAGCAGTAACTGTTTCTGGACTACCCTCTGGAATACTCAGCTATTGGCACCCACAGACTCATTCCTGCACCTATTCCTTCAGGAAACCCCCGGAGTCTGTGCATAAATAGCTTTGGAGTTAAGTGCTACATTAGAATTTTCTAGCCATCTCATTTCCTCCACTCTACAATGGGATCATAATTATGATTTATAGAAGCAAATCTCTAGTGCCTCCAGGTTCAGCAGTTCACATACATTATCTCATTTCATCCCTAGGAGATAAATGGGAGATCATTTGACAGAAGAGACACCCAGTGTGAGGAAAGGTGAGAAAAACACACAAGTTACATAGCATGCATTATCCAGTGCTTATGATACACTAAGAGCTGCATTCAGAACTTGCCATGAATTAGCTAATAAACCCAAGGAATTTGACACCATTATCATTTCTGAATTTTCATAGCAGGTAGACATGGGTTTCAGCAAAGCTCAATCATTTGTTTGGTATCTTGCAAGTTGAAAGTGGCAGAGCAGAGTCTTACTTCAAATATAGTGCTCTTGTCATTGGACTCTGACACTGTTTGGTTCCAGCATGCTGCCTAGTTATGTAGTAGGTTCAACTTGTTATCTTTATGAAACCAATAGTAGTAAGTGGGTGACATCTTAGGCTATCAAATATGCAAGGAAAACCTACCCACCAGGATAAATAAAGTTTTCTGGATGTTGGGGGTAGGGGGGTCAACTGGAAATATAAGTGGCTCTTCCTGGCATGTGCTCACTTCCCACATATTTGAAAATCAGAGTGTGGGCTGCAAGGACTCTCCAAGACAACGCCTGCACTCACCACCCTTTCTTCCTGAGTAGGTGTTCAGCAGGTACTCAGTAAATGCTCACTAAATTACAGAAACAGTAGACAAGGGACAGTGGAAGAGGAGGTTCAAAGTGTCTTATATCATGCCATATGCACAAATAGAGTCACTTGATTTGGCCTGTATCATCTAGACTCCCCTTACCTTTTCCAAGCCTTGGTCCAGGAGAACTTTCTCTTGACTTTGACTTTGACGCTGGCAAGTGGCCCACCAACATATATTGTTCTGGCACTTTGTAAAGCTTCTCCGAGCCGCCCGGGCCCCTGTCCTCTTGCATAGCCAGCAGGGAGCGCTCGGACAGCACTGGGGAGTTGTTGTCATAAGGGGAGATGTCTCCACTGGAGGCCTTGTTGGAGTCTGTAGATGAATGCCTCCCTCCCATAGAAAAGGAAACTTCCGATTGCAGAATGTCAGGGCTTCTGGTACAACGAGACAGTTACAGGTACATGAGTGTGTTAATAATTTGTGACCACATTTAAACAATACAACCGTTACATAAATGACAGGAGGAGAACGCATGGACACAGGGGCCTTTTGAGCAATGTTCCAACATGTCTGCATTAATAAAATGAAAGCGTTTCCACATAATGGCCGGAAGATGGCGGCAAAACACAACAAATGTAACAAGAAACGGCAGCCCCCGAGAAGGAGGGGGGAGGATGAAACAGACACAGATCCCTGCACGGTGTTCGCCAATGTACGGCCAGCAGAGGGCAGTAAAACCTAACAAATGTAACAAAACTTCAGCCGAGCATAGGAAGGAGATGAAAAGATGGATCCCTGTAATCGCCAATGTGTGGCCCGCAGAGGGCAGAAAAATCGAAGTTGTAACGGGAAATGCCAGCTGCCAGGGGAAGGATGGAAAATAAACAGAAGCACATCTCTGTATTCGCCAACAAATATGCCTGAGGTGCCTCGTGGATTAAATCCTGGTTTCATTTAAAAATTAAACTCTGATGGTCACTTTCTATTAAGTAAGGAAAAACTGGCAGCTGCCACTTTTACCTTCTTCAATATCCTGTATTAAAAATCATTTGAATGAAACTTGGGGAAATTTTCTTCTCGAAATACTTAAATTCATCCTTCCTGTGATGAAGATGATGATGCTACTGGTGGGAATAAGTATTTCATATAGAAAGAGTTGGCCAGAAAGATAAATATATGACCACCATTAAGAATCCACTGTATTTTAATACATATTTAAAATGATTCTGCAAAGGACTAGTGATTTTATACATTGATCTGACACACTAGTTACCAAACCATATATACACGTATGAATGTGTTCTCACAGCCACGGAAGTGGTGAATATGTAAGTGGAACAGGAAAATGAGAACTTCAGGAACATGGAAAGACTGGTGAAGTCTTACCTGGAACATCTTTACTTTCTACCTTCCTCAAAACAGTGGCCCTGACAAAATCTTAAAGGGAAATGATCACAGGTTGATTAAAGTTTCAGAATCTGCTTCTGCACCCCCACCCTCACTTTGCTTCCTTTTTCCAGTCTTTGCTTTCCTTTAGTTGAAATTTTCAAAACAAATCTTTGTGGTTTTAAAGAAGGTAAACATACGCCTGAGCAATCCCTTCCTAACCAAATGGTTTTGTGCATGCAAAATGGAAGCAGTGCCCTCATGGGGACCAAGAAGCTAGCTTCATTTCAGGTTTCCACCAAGGGTTAGTACCCAGGGAGAAACCATCCCAGCATTCCTGATGTGCCATGCCAGCTGCCTGTCACTGAGGTGGTTAGGGTTTGAGCAGTTTTGCTAAGGACATTTTCTACCCACATGGAATAAATAAGTCCTTTCCTTGCTTCCTCTTTGAACTGATATCAGACAATCTTATGGGCAGGAGCCAGAGGACAGCCATGAGGATGATTTTCCAGACCTTCAGGCCTCCAATGAATTTGAAGAAAAAAAAATCAAAGGAACTTAACTATTTCTGCTGGAAAGTAGGGGGAACACTATTTAACCACCATAGCTAATTAAAGGGAAAAATCTCTTTAATTCTAGCCAAAGGAACACAAACTAAAACTAATTGGACACTTGTCTGTTGTCATGGGGTATGGCTCTGACTGAGGAAAGGTTATTATGAAAATTAGAAAAATCTAATAAGTTGAACTAACACAGAACCCAGTTCAAAATCAGGGTTCAATGTTCTGAACAGGGCTATAAATCATATTATTGGGCTACTTCCATTGACATATTCCCAGTCATTAATGGAAATATCTTTTGTCTACTTAGTAAGAATAAGTCATGATTTTATATCAATAATAGTAGCTACGTAAAGCCTTATTTTATGAGATGTTTTAAAGAGAGTTAAGTCGATTCATGAGCCCAAACCAAAACAACTATCAGGGCTATAGATGTTTTGTTTTGTTTTTGCCTCCTCATATTGGGAGAAAAGTTTTTAAAAGATTGTATTTTAGCTCACAGAGACCACAATAATTCTATCTCATGTCTTTCTCATCTGTCTTACTCAATATATAGAAGATAATATGTTCCACAAAATGTTATAAATTGCAGATGGAACTAGGGGTTATGTATAGAAAGAAAGATGCCTCATGAAACAAATTTCTCTTAAGTCTTGGTACTAGGGACATTTGGGTTTCTACTGAGTGAGTAGGTTATTTTTATATTATGGAAGCATGAGTCATATAATAAGTAATGTATTTCTGTTTGAAATGAATACTAAAAGCTCAGAGGAAATGGAGCTCCATTTGAGTTGATGTATCAAAGCTTGGGGAGTGCCTTTTTGTCTCTTGCATTGCAGCTTCTTTTTATCACTTTTTCTATTGTTTTCCTTCCCCCATTCCCTCAAGTTACCTACTATGACCTTGCTGCACTTTATATGCTTTTTAAAGCTGTCTCTGAAAATTGTTTTTGGACTAATGTACACACAGGGAAATCATACCTACATTAGTTGTTGTGGGGAGGGAACAGAAAAAGCAGTATGCCTCATAAGAGCATTCAGTTTGGTGAAAGTAAAACAACAATGACAATAGCAATAATAAAATTAACCAAAATTCCTATACCAATTTTCCTCCATTTTCATAACTCTTATTGGATCTAATTAAGTAGAGAGGAAAAGGCAAGAGGAAGAGGGCCACTGTCTGTTTCCTCTTTTCTTTGGGTTGGCTTTGCAAAATCTCATTTACCGTTTGTGAAATAAGAAAGTGTGCTCCCTATAGCAGTAGCATCTGCTTCACTCGGGAACTTGTTGGAAATATAAATTTTCAAGCTCTATTCTGGACAGGAGCAGCTACATCATTTGTGGAGGCCAGTGCAAAATGAGCATGTGGGGTACCATGCTAAATTTTTTTTTTTTTTTTAAATCAAGGAATTTCAAGATGGTAATAACAGATCATGTGAGTTTCTTCTGAGTGTAGGGAAGCCAGCTCTGCCTATTAAAAGGGGACTTCTGGGGTGGGGCCAGCAGAAGCCCAATAGATGATTCTGATGCATGAAGATGTTTGGGAACCTCTAATAATCAAACCTTTTCCCCCTCTCTCAATCTATAAGTGTGACAATGGGCCAAGGGTCTGTTGAGAGCTGAAGCAGGAAGAAAACCACAAATGGTGGCCCAAACTGTAGCACTGGTTAGACTGGGAGTGAATATGATGGTCCTCATCTTGGGGTGACTGGTACTCCAGAAGGGGGAAAGAGAGCAGGTGTGCCTATCCCAGCTGAACTCTTGGACTTCCTCTATCCTGCCATAAGCAGGATTCAGACAACAAAATGTAGTCTGGTTGCAGATCAGAACATGTTGAGGTGAGGGAGGCAGGAGAGGCCCACCTGACATAAGTCTCATCAGTCAAGCCACTAAAGTGAGAACAGGTGGGGCTCCAATCAGGGGAGAAATTGAGGGAGTTGCCTGGGGATGATTCCTAGAGATAGAGGTGGATGAGTTGTTCAATAGTAGACATGGGTCTTGAACCTCCTCAGAATGACTTGGGTCACAGTCAGGGACAGGCAGAGAGGGCCATCCTGTGAGCAATGATGCCTTCTTTTGCAGCCAGGCCTTCCCAATTTATCTCAGCCATGGGAGGGAATACAGTATGAGTGCCTGGCAATCAGAATTAGAAATATACTCATGTGAAATAACCTGTTGGTCTATGGTACAAGTTTGTACAGAGTCCATCATGTTTCAGGTATTGGACTGAACTACTATTAACAGCTCTCTTTGTTCATTATCTCAGTCTGTATATTAGTAAAATAATAAGGAAGTTGACAAAAACATTTCTTTCTAGCAACAGAGGCATTAGGGGTTGGGACCCTTCTAATGTTTATTTGCTAAATAGCATTCAACAATATTGCAAATCAGTAAGATGCTCTATTTTATGCTTAAAGTTAATGGCCTTTTAAAATATTTTCCTATCATTTTATTTTCTCAGCATAGGTCAAAAATTGGCAGTGAAATTGCCTAGGAACCCTGTCAAAGAATTGTCAAATAAAACAAACAAGCAAAACAAAACAAAAATGATCCCTTTGGTTATCTCTGAAAGAATGAGACAAGAAGCAACAGTGATCCTCTCTTGCATTTACCTCTGGAAAAAATCCAGCTCTAAGAAGACAGTTTTGAGTTCAGGATCCTAAGTGAAGGCATTAAAATATTCATTTACTTATTTACAGAAAATATTTACCCAGATCAGTGATTCACTAGATGAAGAGTTATCTAAAGCATGTAGTAGCCTCTCTTTCTATGTTTTGGAATTTACTAGAATGCTGGGCAGAAGAGTTGCCAGTTGACATGAGTTTTGGCTTATAAGTACCTAGTGACTTATCTTTCCAGTCTCAGGGCACAATAGATTGTGGTAGAGACTGTTGGATGGATGGGTTTCTAGTCAACCTAGGTTTTCCTCCATGCATGGAGGGTTTTCCCATTAGATCCCCAAACCCCAGGACCATCCATAGCATGCATGGCCAATCTCAGCTAACCAAACAAGCATGGGATGGGCATGGAGAGCGAATCATGTTCTCACCCTCAGCTGGTCCCTCCAGGTCAAGGGGTAAGCACGCTGGCAGGGTACTGTGAGCAGGCCTGCACTGTAGCCGGAAGCACAGAACTTGTTCTGTGGATAAATGGAAAACTCCGGTTCAATTACCGGATGTGGCCAGCCCAGCCCCTTGCTGAGCTGTCTCAGTGAGAAACACTCCTGAAGATTTCAAATATGTGTTGTCTTCATCCTTGGCTCAGTTAATCAACTGATAAACTTAAGTCTGTTGGAACTCAAAGCTCGTAATCATCATAGACACTATTAATTATACTAGGAAAGGAATCCACTGACATAGCAACTCTGGAATTATGGGCATTATGGAGGATTTTCATATTAATCATGCTCAGGTCTACAAAGCCTGCCTTATGGAGAATCCTAGGGAAAAAAAATACCCTACTCCAAAGAGGAGCTGATATGGCTCTAAC